CCCAAATCTGTCATGGAGCTTAGTAGAGTATGCCCATGCAGGGAGCTGGTATTGGGAGTTAGGTCATGGCTGTCTCTCTGCCTCCAAAGTGTAAGGGACACTGCACTGCACTTCCCAGCCGTCCTTCTCTGGTGTCCCTTAGCTGATGCCCTTGCCCTGTCCTGCCCTTCCTTATGGCCGGCAGGTCCCAGGTCCTGGACTGGACAGCATCTCTCCCAGTTTGGGGATCTGGCAGAGAGTTAGGAAGCACCTATTTATCGGCTTAGCAGTGGCATGTGTAGAAATCATTCCTCTGGCATCCACCTGAGAACAGGTGTTCCCCAGAGGGTTAAATGGACTCCCTCTGAGTGAATTAGGGTTAGTTTTGACGCCTATGCCTTAGTCCCTTTCCCCAAGTACTTGGAAAGTAATTTGCTTGAGTTGGATGCAACCCCTGGGCTCCAACTGTCAGGCCAAAAGATAACAGTAATTGCCTTCTCTTCACTTCAGAAGGGTATGTCACCCAAAGCTCTATTCATCTATTATTAAGAATGGAAAGTGTTTACAGTGTCTTCCACTTACTCATCAGTATGTGGAATCTCTTAATAGCAGGCAATTTCCCCCTAATTCATAACCTAAAAACAATTCATGAGAGCATGTTTTTTTCCATCAAGGATGGGGCTGTACATGGAACTGCAAGGCCAAAGACAGGTCACCTCTTCCCAGAACCAGATGGAAATCCTTGGTGAGAGTGCTGTTCTGGCAGACTCCACCAGCCTTGCCTCTGGAGGAAGGCTTCCCTGCCTGACTTACACAAGTGAGAACTGCCCCCGTTTTCTCTACTGGACAGTGGACAGCCTGGAGCCCTGAGGCTGAAGTGGGACCCGTGACTCCTCGTGCTGCCTGCCTTCCCTGTGATCAGTGCCTTTCTGACTCAGTGCAGGTTACTTCAGCCTGGCCTAGTTCACAACAGTCCTGGAAGTGGACCGCTCAGTGCAGTGTGGGAGGGGCAGAGGAACCAGCTCAGCTACAGCTGGGAGATCTTCAGGTACAGAGATGCCTGACCACGTACAAGCAAGTCAAGACTCAAGTTCCAGGCTCTAGAAGTAGTAGAGCAGCCCGGGCCAGGAGGCCAGTGGGGCCGTCATCAGGACTGTGGGGCAAGTGGTGATGAGAAACTGCATCTAAGACTGTTGGCCTGAAGCCTCTTCCTTCAGTCCCTCCTGTTAGGACCTAGGTAGACCCATCTTAAATGCCACCTTCCATAAGGCCATTTCCACCTTTGCAAACCTTACCTATTTTCTTCCCTGTGCAAGGAGCCCCACTAGGGGTGATACTCCTGTCCCCTCTCTCCCCTTTTATTTGCTTTGCCTCAGGGAACATACAAGATGACCATTCTGGTCATGCATAGGCCAGCTCCACCCATCCTTCCTCTTGGGAGTGAGCTGCCTGCAGGGTACAGTATCCCACGGCTCTTGCTGAGGTGGGCTCAACCTGTCCGAGGTCAAGGGTCCGGGGAGGCTCTCCCTGGTCTAGCACAACTGGATGGGTTAGTCGGCCTCATTAAGGGATTTATGTCAGCAGTCTACTTAGCTAACAGACCTGAGCTGTCCTCCAGCCCAGCCTCTCTGCCAATAATGAAGGGGATGTTTTGGCCTCTGTCGGCCCCTCCTTTATTTCTCAGACCCTCAAAAAGACCTTAGAACAGCTTTCCTGTCCCCTTCAGTCTTGCCCATCTTGTAATTCCCATTGCATTTTTTTGGAGTGTCTCTAGAATGACCTTTCATTATTTGGGTAACTACCTTATTTCCTTCCCTCACCAGCTGAGATCTAAGAGAGGCACTCCGGAGATCAGCTGGGTAGACAAATACAAATGAAAAGAATAACTTCAGGAGACAGACTTGGGAACAATGACGAGGTCACGTCACGAGTGTGCTAATGGGGCTCCAGATAAGACTCTGTCAGGAGCAGCAACGGGGGCAGCGTGACTCTGCGGGGGAAGGGAAGGCTCAGAACATGGGGCGGCCCCACAGGCCCGGCGTCCTCTCCAATTCTGGGCGACACTGTGTCTCAGCTGCTCAGCCTCTGTTCCCCCTTCCTTTAGTAAAAATACTTTTATTTCCTTTTCATGGGACCACCTCTCCTTCCTTTCACCCGTGTGACTCTATTCCCAGCATCAGGGGTTGACAAGTGACCCCAGACCAAGCCAGTCAGGGCACTCAAACTTCCTGGCCGCTGGGACTTATTTGGGAACAAGGCCAGTCCCAAGTTGGTCAAATTAGAGTGAACCCTGGGACACTTGTAAACTGCAAGGAAGGAGAGCTTGCTTTGTTTTTGGTTGAACTTATGCTCTGAGGAAAGTCTGGAGCTAAGTAACCCTTGTGTCACCATTAGGGAAAAGCCTGGCTGGGAAATGGAGCCAGCTTCTGGGAGTGAGAATAGTGACAAGGTCCAGAGAGCACCTCTGGAGCCCCTGAATTCACTGCATTGCTTGCCTTTGCTGGTACTCAGCCAGTAAATTCCTTTCTTGCATGACCAATTTGAGTGTTCAGTCACTTTGCAACTAAAAGCGTACTCACTAAATATACCCTTACGTAAGATCAGAAAAGAGGTTTCAACATAAAGAGGAAAAATAGCGAATGTTGGTGAGAATGTGGAGAAATTGGAAACCTCATGCATTGCTGATAGGAACATAAAATGAGGCAGCTACTTTGGAGAACAGTCTGGCAGTTCCTCAGACTATTAAACACAGTCACCATGACCCAGCAATTCCACTCTTAAACATTACCCAGGAGGACCGAAAACATACGTTCACACAAAGACTTGTACAGAAATGTTTGTCGAAGCATTAGTGACAATAGCCAAAGAGCAGGAACAACCCAAATGTCTGTCACCTGATGAATGGATAAACAAAATGTGGTATACACCTATGGTAGAATATTAGCCATAAAAATCAATGAAGGACTGATACATGTTACAACATGGTTGAGCCTTGAAAACATTTGCTAAGTGCCAGAAGCCAGACAGGAAAGGCCACATGGTCCATTTACATGAAATGTCCAGAATAGCTAAATCTGTTGAGACAGAAAGTAGATTAGTGGTTGTAAGGGGCTGGGCTGGGGACAGGAATGGGGCCAATGGGTACAGGTTTCCTTTGGGGATGATAAAAATGTCCTGGAATTAGTGGTGATGGTTACACAGCCTTGTGAACATAAAAAGCACTGAATTATAAGATAAACAACAAGTTCGTGCTGTATAGCACAGGGAACTATATTCAACATCTTGTAGTAACTTATGGTGAAAAAGAATATGAAAATATGAGAATGAATATTTGTATGTTCATGTATGCCTGAAGTGCTGTGCACCAGCAACTGACACAACACTGTAAACTGACTATACTTCAATAAGAAAAACTATATATATACAAAAGAAGCCACCGAATTATACTTCCCAAGGGTGCATTTCATGGTACGTGAATTCTATCTTAATAAAAATAAATGTGACCAGAATGTTAATAATTGGTAAATCTAGCTAAAAGGTATATGGGAATTCATTGTCCCATTCTTGCAACTTTTCAGCAAGTATAAAGTTTTTCAAAATGAAGTTGTTTTTTAAAGGCTTAAAATAAATTGAGTCATTCCTTCTTGATCCCACTTAATGGAGGGTGGCACCAACCTCACAGGAAGTTGTAGATTAGGGATGGCAGGAACTTTAAAGTCATCCAGTTCAGCCCTCATTTACAGATGAGGAAACTGAGTCCCAAGAGAAGTGCCTTTTACAAATCTTTTTTTTTTGGCAAGGGGTAATTAGGTTTACTTATTTATTTATTTAGAGGAGGTACTGGGAATTGAACCCAGGACCTTGTGGATGCTAAGAAACACTCTACCATTTGAGCTACACCCTCCCCTGAGAAGTGCCTTTTAAAGGTCACACATCTTGTTGGTAACTGTCTCCTGACAAATTTCAGATTGTTACTCCATCCTTTTCTCTAGAGCTGTTTACTTTTCTTCCAACCTTCATCCACTTAGAATGCTTACCTGGACCCTCTCCAATTTCTTAACATCTTTCTGAAGTAGGTAGGTTGAAGGTTGGGGAAAGGAAACCCACCACAGGGACATATGTTAGATATTGAACATGTGTTAAAGAAGGTATCTTCTCCAAGATCAGAAGATATTTCCGGAGATCTGAGGAATTAATGCAAAAATGTATCCAAATGGTAGCACGTGGCATCAGCCCCCTGCCTTCTGCTCGTCTGCTGCTGCCCGCTCCCTCCCCATCCCATTGGGCTGACTTCAGGAAGGAGATGTGGGGGTGGGAATGGGATTAGGTGGGCGGTTCCCCAAAACCACCAGGATGCATGCAAGCTGTGTCTTCAGGAGTGCCAAGCACTACTCAGGCAAAGTACTGAGTTCAGAGTACAAAACAATAAAGTTGGGAAAGTCAGAAGCTGGGTGGGCCCTGGAATGGAGCTGGGAGAAAGGGGCAGTGTAAGAGAGAAAGCGAAGTGACAATCCCCAAGGACAGGGCCTGTGGAATCAAGGCCCAGTTTGCTTGTTTCAAAGCAGGCAAGTCCGATTTCAGGCCCAGCCCTGTTCAAAGATAGGACACACAGTACTTCTGCAAGACAGCAGAGCTGGTCAGTGGCCTCATGTCCCATCAGCATTGGAAGGAAGGCTGAGGGGACATTACGGGCATCTCATCTCCATGTTGGAGGCTCAGGCCAGCAAGAAGCTCAGTGTAGGCCTCACCCTTGTGCTCATACATCTCAACCAACACTGGCGGCACCAGCTCTGAATCCAGCCATCCTCATCCTGGGCTGTAGGGTAAAGCTCCAAGTCCTTGGCTACAGTTTAGGGAAAGGGGTGTGATCTCAGTTGGGCAAAAGAGACTTATTCGGTCCTTAAATAAGAAGTTAGTGTGATCCTGGGGTTGGGGGCCATCTTCACCACCTTTGAGAAGAGACTGCATGAGCCCACGAGCAGAGCAGAGAGACAGAAATCATGTCTTCACGCCATTGTTTGAGTCCCTGGATCCAGCCAAGTCACCTTTTCAGTTATGGGAACCAATAAATTCCTTTTCGTTAAGATGGTTCTATGTTAAAGAGTTCCACACCGTAACAACTGTAAGTGTTCGGACAGTAACTTTGGCATTCCAGACTCTCACAGGCTGGGGCCACCCACCTAATCACCCTCCTCCTGTGGGTATCATCACTGCTCGGAACACCAGCTCCGTGTTCCCTAAAGCCCGTCCCTTCCCACTGACTACCTTGTTCTCTCAGAAAAGCCTGCCCATTCTTCAAGGACCATATTGTCTTCACCTCCATGAAGCCTTCCTGTCTCAAGGCTTCAGGTTTCCTCCTCCTGACAGCTGGATCGGAAGGTCCTTTGTGGGGACAGAACCTTGTGACCCATTAATTTAGTGGCTGAGAGTGTGGACAGCTGTGGGCGAGATGTCAGCTGAAAAGATTCTCTAGTTAGCTTAAGAAAATTGCTCTCCCTCAAGACACAACAGCCCCTTCCTCTGTTCCCCGAGGTTCCCTCCTTGCTCCCCTTCGTATCCTGCCCCTTCTCATGCATGAGGCCCCGGCCGCTGGCTCCGCCTTGCATCAGGTGATGTGTCAGCAGGAACTGGGAACTGGGGCTCTGGGGCTCCCTGCTCTGACACACGGCTGAGACCCAGCCCTAGGGGCCAGCCAGGCCTGCTCCTCAGGTCCCAGGCCTCCACACCACTCCCGCCCGCCCCCACTGCTCACGCCCTCAGACTCTCCCACTTGACACCAGGCGGACCCTTCTCAGTGATACCAGTCACATAAGCCCTTTCTCTCCTCAAAAATTCTTCCAGGGCTTTCCATGGCTTTTAGTTCCTTAAATGGGCCCTTGCTTTTCTAACCTCTTCGGTCACCACATCCTGACCACCAGTGGGGCTTCCGCTCTTGCTGTCCCCTCAGCAGGACTCCCCCCAACCTCACTTCCAAACACCCGCTCACATGAAGCTGCCCCATCCAGGAAGCCTCTGTAGCCACTGAGGTCAGAAACAGCTCCCCCGCCCGGCACAGCGCCTTTCCCAGCCATCCAGCAGACCACTTACTTCACTCTGCCTTCCCGTGGACAAGTCCATCTCCCCAACTAAGAATATACAGTCCTTGGAGACAGGGTCCCCGAAAGTCATCACGTTTCTCTCACGGTGCCAAAACGGAGCTTTGTACACAAGGTGCCTTTCATAAATGTCTGAAATGAAACGAAATGAGAGAGAACACATTCCCGACTCCCGAGACAGACATGCACTCTTCCCAGGAATGGAAAAAACACCCGCTTGGGCGGCTCCGCCAAGGGAGCCTGAAGCTGTGACGCACGCGGGGGCACGAGGTGTGGGCTGAAGGTGTGAATGGATGGGGCGTGGGCGGCGGAGGCACTGACACTGGAGCGCTCTCCCACAGGTTACCCCTCTCACACCTCTCCCTGGAAGTCAGGGATCATTCCCCACGGCTTCAAAAGGAAGTGCAGCTGCTTCTGCAAGTCCCAGCCCTGAAGACGTCGCTCTTCCCACGCAGTGGCTGGCGTTCAGAAGCAGCGCTCTCTTTTGCAGCTCAGGGGATACAGAGGAAAGGGCTTGGGTGGGTCACAGTCAAGGATATGGGAGGGGTATCTCTGGCTCCCAGCCTGAGGGCCTCGGTGTGGAAGCTGTCAGGACTAGGCCCTAGGATCGTAGAGGTGCAAATGCCTTGCGTGGAGCAGACACATCCAGGCCCCTTCTAACTTTTTTCTAAATTACATTCATATCTCCTCAGTTTCTCCTTCTCTAAGAGGAAGGGAAGAAACCAAACCAGGAAAACTGCGACAAGAAAAATGACAGGGAGCCACTGGCATTTACATTCTTATCTGTGGTTTCTGTTTTTTTGTTTTGATTTGCTTTTTAATTCTTTTTTATAGAAAAAAAAAACACATCCAGGGGAATTTATATGACAAACTATCAGTGTCAGGAGGACAGGGGAAAAGAGAAAGAAAGGCCAGAGGCATGGGTAGCTAATAAAAACTGGGTTCCGAATCATGTGGAATGGTCCACAGGGTCATTTCTGGGTCCTCACGAGATGACCAGTCACCTTGGCATGCGTGTTCGGTGCCTGGTCTCCTTGTCTGCCCGCTCAGGTACCCAGGGTCAGAGAGAGCTGGCCACACCCTGGAAATCTGCCAAAGACAATCTCGGACTTTACAGCAAGACAAGACTTAATTTAGCCTCTTGGCTTTGTGCTCAGGTATCACACAGCAGTCTTTCTTGCCTAAGAGAAGAGTCTAGAAGAGTCTGAGAGTCACCATGGGACACACTCTGGCATCACAGTGAACCCCACACAGCAGCTCACTCAGACACAGTCTTCACCATCCACATGGGCGTCTGTCCAGACACCCCTGGGTGGTCTGGCCAAAGAAGGACAAGAAACATGATGGTCTCTTTCTAGCCACAGTTCAACAATGTCGTCCGTTCTCCAGTCTCACTCTGTCTACAGCCTGTGGAGGAGACTGGGATCCAACTGCTTCTCAGCTCAGCACTGGACACTGATTCCAAAGAAGCATGGCCATTTGGATCCACACTGACGGTCTCTCAAGCTTCTCTCATTTTATTCCCCAGATCTCAGGGCAGAAGATTCAGCTGATCCAGAGCCACGTGTGGCACACAGAACATCCAGACTGATGGCCGGGCAAGAAAGAGCTGGTAGCACACTGTAAGACCAGAGTACATTCGAGAAGGGGAGAGGGGCGTGCAGCAAGCTGCTGCCCCAGTCACAGTCCTGAGGACACACTGAGCCTGCCGGACACAGCCGGGTCCGCTAATCTGACAGGGTGGTTCAGACACCTCACGTGGCAGGGCCCCCCGGTGGTGGTTCCTAAGTGGAGAGCGGTGGGCTTCCCGCCCAGCTGGGGCCCCTGTTCCTGCTCGGAGGCCAGGTTACATCTCAGCGCCACAGTCCTGAGGAGCACCACGCTGGCCAGCCAGCCAGGCCACAGTCCTCAGCCCGCTGGGCCAAGGTGGCTCTGGGTTCCACAGGAAGGCCTCAGGGAGCCGAGGTCACTGGGAGGGAGTGAGGGAGGAAGCCAGGGGAGAGGGAGGGCTGCATTCTGCTGGGATAGATTCAAGGGGAACTGCCACGGGCTGAGGAACTGCGGCCCCATCACGGCAGGGCCAAGAGGAATGGGATATATATCTGAAGAATGACGACAGTTTGGTTGCTAGTTTAAAAAGAGAGCATTGGTGCTGTTGCTCGGTTTTGTTTTTCCCTTTTAAAACCACTCACATTTTAAAAGGTGAAGGGGCTCAGGGGATTCGGCCCCCTTCACTCTGATCCTGTCCAGGTACCAGGAGGCCTCAGGCCCACATCGGGTGCTGCTCTCCCACGGGGCTCTGGCCACCAGGCAGGGACGGGGCAGGGAGAGCACGTGCTCTGCTTTCCAGCAGCAACGCCTCCTCCCCGCAAAACCAGAACACACGTGGTGGGCAGTCCAAAGACTAAAGTGCAGAGACTCCACAGAGTGGGCGGCCCAGCGCGGGGCACTCGGAGACGGGGTGGGGCTGGGGCTCAGCCCAGAACTACAGCGGTGGAACGAACGCTGACAGGTAGGGAGAGAGCCTGCGGGGCCTGGTCCCCTCTCTCGGGGACCCTGTGGACACTGCTTCTATTGGGGACTGTCCACTGTCAACAGCTCCCCAAGGGAAAAATCCCAGTCCCAGAGATAGGGCCCACGAAGGAAGAACACACGTATGACCGCCCCTGGTTGGTGATGACTGGGGATGGGAGAGGAAGGTGGCAGGAGGGGAAACGGTGCATTATATAAAATCAGTGAACCCCCGGTTTCGAGAGCGGGGATCCAGGAACAACCCTACAGGCAGAGTCTCTCCCGAGGAAGGTTTGTGAAGATGGTCAGGATCCTACCAGAATGGAGCGCCTCTGAGTGTGAGAGGCGCGGCAGAGTGGGGAGGGCTGCTGAGGAGGGAGCCCACGGCGGGCATTAGGGTGTGTAGGCCGGGGGTGGCTGGAACTGGTTGATGACCTCATACTCCGCTGGGTAGGGCTCATTCTCCTCCATCTCTGAGAGCAGCTCCAGCGCTTGCTCCTCTTCCTCCGTGGGGTAGTGGCGCAGGAGGTTGGCCGCTGTGGCCAGGATTGAGGCCCCGCCAGCGCCTGCCACCAGGTAGAAGCTAACAGCAAAGGTGACATAAACCTGGGAACCGTGGTACTTCTTATGTTGCTGCTGCTGGGCCAGGATGAGTTCAGAAGCCCAGTAGGAAAAGCCGATGACGGTGGCGCACTGCAGGACTGGGGGACAGAGGGACAGCAGATAAAGGGGGTTAGTAGGCACCCCACGGCCAGGATCCTTGAAGAACCAACTGCAGCCTCTCTATCCAAACCCCATCCTCAGAGAACATGCCAGGCCCCAGGCTCTGCAAGGGGGAGCTCTCTTGGCTGGGGCTGGGGGCAGAGGCCTGACCCCACCTGGGCCAGTCAGATTCTCCCTGTCTTAAGAATTTGGAATTGGGATATTAGGGCTGCTAAGAGTGTTTGGGTACCTGAAAGGAATAGACAAGGACATGTAGTTTGGAGCTGGCGTCACTACCACCACGAGTCAAATCAACACACCAGCCCCATCACAAGGGAGGAGAGAAGCCCGGTCTGCAGGGAAGCAGGAAGTGGGTGGAGAGAGTCAGAAAGACACAGCGAGACACGCTGGTTCCTCCTTTGGGCCTTCCAGTCCCAGGAGCCCGGCTGAGCTTTGAATCCCATTCTTAGAGAGCTATGAGAGTTCTTGTAGAAGCTAATATTCCCTGCCTACAGCTGGGCCAAGGGGGTTAGTGGTCCTGACAGGCATACATGCAAATGATAGAAACAAGCTGTCACACCCCAGTGCTCTGTGGAAGACCAGAGCTGAAATGAGCAACAAGAATGGTGTCTGCCCATACACAATCCAGAAGGATGCCCCTACCCCGTGGCAGTTCCTTCCCCATTGTGAATAGGCCCCGGCTTACCTGTGAGGATGTGGGCGAAGGCATAGCGACGGGTGATCTTCAGGGCTGGATGCTTGGGCCCAAAGACATCCAGAAGGAACGCGGAGAGGCTACACAGGATGCCCAGGAAGCAGAAGGCAGCAATGACCCGCAGGAGCAGGACTGTCTGAGGATTCATGCAGAAATCTGTAGAGGGGAGAACCAAATTCTCAGGGCCCAAGGCAACACCCTGGTGCAGGAAGTACCCCCTGGGAGGAGTCTGTCTCCCTCTGCCACAGCCCTGGAGAGCTGGGGAGGACAGGACGGAGGCATGATCTCAGCTCCTGCTCCCAGCTGGCCTGCGGAGGAAGTGGAAAAGCCACCTTATTAGCGGATGGGAACTCGGGGTCACTGCTCCCATGCACCTCAAGCCCTTCCTCCCTTTCCAACAAATCAAGTCTTAGTGCAAGACTCCACTTCATTGTACAGTTGACTCTTGAACAGCATGAGTTTGAACTGCAAGGGTCCACTTATATGTGGATTTTTTTCAATAGTAAATACTACAGTGCTACACGATCGGGGTTGGTTAAATCCACGATGTGGAACCACAGATACAGAGGACTGATTATAAATTATACAAATTATATGTGGATTTTCAACTGCTGGGAGGGTCAGGGTCCCTTATGTTGTTCAAGGGTTAACTGTACTTGCCCCCTCTCCTACACATTTTTAAAGACTCGGACAATTAATCAGCATGTTAACCCATTCTGCTAAAGCATGCTTCGGGCTGGCAGGAAAGGCCCACTGACTTCTGACCTGAGACAGCCAAAGAGGCTAAGGACAGAGGCCCATTCGGGTCTGTCCTCTGTCCAGTCACTCATCCATTCCCTTTTGTTTCAAAAAGAAGTTGAAGCAGCTTAGAGAAACGTGTAACTACAGGAGAGTACTAAATAAACCAGGAAAGGTGGCAGCCTGGACCTTCACATTTATTTTCTGCCCCCCTCCACCCTACTAACACAAAAGAAAAAAAATTTTAAGACATAAACCCACACAAAGAGAGGAAGGGCAAAACAAATTCTGGAAACTGGGAGGTAAAGGGACTGAGAACTACTTAGGACTGACCTGACATACTAGACAAGCTGAAGTGTAAGCTGTAAGTGGGAAAAGCTAAGAAGTAACTAGACTTACGCCACAAAAGCCTGAAAGGTTCAGACCCTGACAGCACCAAATACCTCCAAAAATGAGGGCAAAGCCACTGGGGGATGGTCGCTCTACCAGAAAAAAAAAAAAAAAGGAAATTAACCAAGAAAAAGGAAGATGCTGAAACAGGAGACTCGACATTCAAAGAGTAAAGAGTCCCCAAGGTCATGGTGAAGGGAGATTCCAGGATGACGACTGCACGCCAGACACTAAGAGCAACCTATATTTCCTTCTAGGACTTTAACATCCTCTGGGCTTATTTTTTTTTTCCCCTTAATTCCATCTAGACCACATTGTCTGTTCCCTTTGATATCCATGCAAACTGCCACAGCTCCCAGAAACACACTGACAGAATAAAAGGCTGATCGAAAAGAAACCATTTTAAGCTTTGATAAAAAGTAGGAAAAGGCCTTAACTTCCTCTATTCAGCCACTGGCAAGCTCTTCTTTTATTTAGGCCAGAGGTCACTAAGTGATTTGGGAAAATTTGAAAAGGGCTGGCAAGACTCACACTGTAGGCTCTTCTCCTGAGTTTTGATCTCAGGCTGAGAGGCTGTAGGATGGTATCATCACTCTCTCATGCACAGGAGAATCCCTGGGGTGCTGGTTGAAAGCATGTTCCCCAGTCCCAGAGAGTCTGAGCTCTTGGTCTGGAGCAGGGCCTGGGATTTTAATAGCAGCACAGGTAATCAGGTAATTCCCACGCAGGTGGCCTTACACTCCAAGAAACACTGATCCTGGATGTAGAGGAAGGTGGACTAATGAAGAAGAGTCCAAAAACCTGGGGAGGGGCTCTGAACTCAACAAAGCAGACTCCAACCCACAGACATCAGCACCCTGGGGTCTTGGACAGAGAGCCCGGCCTCCCACACCAAAAAACCAGACCAGATATCCAGAGGCCCTCGGCCTTTATGACAGCATGCTTTCCCCACCTCAGGCTCTGAAGTCGCCAGGCAGATGTTGGCTTAGCCCACACATGATTCATACGCCTCGATCTGGCTTCAGGTCATCCGCCAAGATGCCCTCAGAGCTATCTGTCACTCTCTTGTCAAGCTGACCATCTGTTTTGGGCCCAGTCATCCAGCCTGGGTGATGGCTGCTGCCAGGAGGCTTGCCTGTGCATCAGCTCTGCCAGCAACCAGGTCCAGCTTTCATTTAATTCTGCCCTGCGGGCCTGAAGAAGTCTAGAAACCCACATGGCCGTGGAGATGGCTGTTTCCTGGCTACATTTTAAATACTGCTAAAAACTCTCTGAGATAGTTCTTCTGGGGGCCTACATGGCATGTGGATGGGTTGGGGCAGGACGAAAGAGCTCTTCTAGTATCTCCAAGAATAACCTGCAAGCGGCAGCGTGTAAGGGCTTACATCACACTCTGCTCCGCAGCGGCCTGTGTTCAGATGCCACCAGCATTACTCAGTGTGGCCAGGCCCTGAGTGATGCTTTAATTGTGGTATTTAAAAATCAACTAAGTTTTAATTTAACAGCCAGTTTTAACTGAAAAATGTAATACACGAGGCTTCAAAGATACTTTCTTTGGCTGCACAGTGAGTACAGGATGCTCATTTTATCATCATCCTTTAAAACGTACATCTAAGGGGAGGGTATAGCTCAGTGGTAGAGCGCATGCCTAGCAAGCATGAGATCCTGGGTTCAATCCCCAGTATGTCCATCAAAGAAAAAAAAAAGTAAATAAATAAAAACCCAATCACCTCCCCCGAAAATTTAAATAAATAAATTAATTGAATGTACATCTATTAAATACACTCCTATGTGTCTTATGTTTCATAATACACTTATCTTAGTAATAAGGAAGACTTGCACAGATATCCAATTGCCCCCTCTCAAGAGACACACTGTTGGCTGTTTCTTGTGCATCCCTCTAGGAATAGGCTGTGCACATAGATGGGTCAAACGTTATCTTGGTTAAGCCTCATTCCACTCTGGGGTATTCAGATGAGGAATTAGAGGCTCCAGGAAGTTAAGTGACTTCCTCCAGGTCTCACAGCACAGAGCTCGACTCCAAATCCGGGTCAGGCTCTCTTGCATCGTGATGTTCAGAACCACCAAGCACCAGAGTTAGCCGTCTTATTTTTCCCAGATGGAGCTAATCAATCAAATCCTAAAGAGCTGTATTTGAATGAAATGTCAACAGTTACTAGGAATGGTGTCGGAGCCATCCTCAGGGCCAGCAGCTGCTGAGCACACTAACGGAACAGCTGGAAGGCTGAAATCTTTTCAAGGCAAAAAGGTTTGGGTCATTAAGCAATGAAAAGAGCTCATCCTGGGAATTATTGGGCAAAACTTTCTGGGTGTGGTCTAAGCTTCTGCAGCCATCAAAGGCTGGCTCTTAAAAGCAGAAGGCACTGGATTCAGCACCAAATGGACCTACCACAGACCATGCATCACCTTGAACAAGTCACTGAACTGCCCTTGGCCTCTGAGCTCTCACCTGTCAAATGGAAGCAATTAATACCTGCCCCACCTGCACAGACAGGCACAGGGGTGGGGGACTGGGGGGGAAGAGTCAACTCACAAAGTGCTGTGGGTGAGCAGCCTCACTCCCTCTGTGCTGGGTGGTTTAAACAGGGCCACAGCAGTGTCTTCCCTGGCATGCTTTCCTCCTTAAACTGAGACTTCCTCGTCCACACTGCCAGCCAGCATGGGCTAGAGGAGGAGCCCACCAATGCCAGACCCAGGATCTGCGTCACCAGGGTGATGATGTGGTACAGACAAGGGCCTTTGGACCCAAAATTCAAACAGGTTTTCTTTCAATGTGACCACCTTCTGCCTTTCCCCATCCCAAAGCTCTAAGCAAACCTTCAAATGGAACCTTCCCTTGGAGTGATGCTAATAGATACCCAGGAGCCTGCCCCACGTCCCCGGCAGTCTTTCACCAGCGGGGTCTCAGAGCACACAGGGGAGGCTGGCAGCATTATGCCAGACACGCTTAGAACCCAGCTCCGACTCTCCTGGGGTCAAGGTCTCAACATCTTTCCTACCTGCCAGACACTGGTCTGGAAGGGAGGACAAGTACTATCTGCTCCAGGGGGAGGACTGCCGAAGAGAAATAAAATCCTCAAATGTTACACATGTGCTATTTTGTGGAAGAAAATAGCACGTGGGCAGGGTCCTAATTTTAATTCAAACCAATGGTGCAGTCCACTACACTATGGGGAGACAGAACACATCCTATCCTCCAGTTGTGCTGTGGCCTGTTTATTTTGGTAACTATTGCTTTACTGTCCCCTCCAGTCACCAGGGAAGAAGGCAGCTGCTGTGTAATAGGATCCCAAGGAACTGACTTTGCCCAAGGTCACTGGTGAGTCACTGGGCTGGATTTGTTTTGAAGGCCCTGGCTCTTCCTGTCTACCTGCCCATTTCTCTCACCCTCTCCTGACCCAAACAGGCTGCAGACAGGAAGGTTAAAGCGGCTTCTGGCCAGTTCCCTTCTTCTGTCCTACCTCCTATTTCCCTCCTCGCTGGAGTCCCTGAGTCAGAAGCACTGCCCCCGGCCCCAGCCCTCCTCAGCACTCACCCGCCCACCTGCACAGCCTCTCCCCACTGTGACTGTTGAGCTTCCTGACAGGCTCCCGACACAAGATTCCAAGAGGGCCCTCCAGTGCCTGGCTAGGTCATAACCACAGGTACCGATGGTTCTGACAGGACCTAAGAGGCCAGTGCGTCGGTCACCACCCCTTAAGCACTCCAGCTCTCCCGGGAAGGCCCTTGATCTTCCCATGGCTTGCTGTCAACCAAGATTCACCTGACTTCAAATCCCAAACTTCCTCATTCTCCAAAGATGCTGCTCAAAGCTGTTGTCCCTGCTGCCCTTTGCTGGTCGCCCATGAAAGGCAGAGAGGCACTGGGACTCAGAGGGAACGATCATCTGGCTCCCTTGCTGGGGTCCACTAGAGGTCTGGGCACATATCTGGACCCATGTCCAGGCTGAAGAGCTGTGTGAGAAGCAGGCACCCCTGGGGAGGGGAAGAATTCAGGACGGGATCTTTTGAGCTGCCTGCATTTGTTAAAGCTGACAGGGCTCTGCGGGTGACAGTGGAAGGATGCATGGCTTTGCCTCAGGATCACCAACTTGGGGTGGTGAGGAATAAAAAGCACAGCTTTTGCTGAACTTGTGATAAAAATTCAACTAGAAGGGGGAAGTAAGACGCCTTGGATCACTCTGGCAGAAGGAAAAAGAAACCCGGAGAGCACTAAGGGACAGCGGTGAGAGTGGAGTCCACGCCATGCACATCAGCTGTGTGCCCCTGAGCAAGTGACCTCACTTCCCTGAGCCTGAGAGGCGGGGGCGCGGGGAGATGATGACAGTACCTATCAAATAAAGATGCTGTTGAGGAGAAACTACAGCCAGGAATGAAGCGTGCTTAGCACAGTGCCTGGCAGTCAGGCAGGGGGCTGAGAAGCGGGAAGGAACCATCTCAAAGCCTGCTGGCCCTGCCCACTCCCCGTCACCTGCATACACCTGGCATGGTCTGTTCTCCCTCTGGAAGCATCTACGGGCACCAGACCTGTGCCCCACAGCTCTGCTCCCTCCTGAGATGGGGAAAATCCCAAGCTTCCATGCTAGGATATCTGTTAGGCCCTGAGGATCAGTGTAATCACACAGAATAGCATATGTCTGAAGGCCCACGGGGCACCAAAAAAACCTCCATAGAAGAAGAAGAAGAGAACCAATCATGGACCTTCTGATTCCTTGCCTTCGCCTATGATAGATCATGAGGTACCACTGTAAACTCCCTTATTAATGGACACTAAGTGTTCCCAGCTTGCAACGACCAAGGAGGTGGCCACAGGAAAGCAGGCTGAAACTATTCTTGGGTTAAGATCCCTAAACACATGAGCAGGTATAGTGTAAACATGCTTTATTAAAGACAAAATCTGGCTTGAATAATTCCTCAGAAAAGGTAAATATATATGTGAACAAAGAAGAAATACACCAAGAATTTGTTTTAATTTTTTACATGCCTTTGACAAGGATGTATACCAAAGAGGGATGAATAATTGTGAGAGCATTCCTTATGATGGCTGAAGTAAAACAAGGGTTAAGAAACATAAACAAGACAGCATCACTTTATACTGGAGTCAACAGTGAGGTACACTCAGCTTTGCCACTCCCAGCTGTGGGGCCCTGGAGAGATCACTTCCCTTCTCTGAGACAGGTTCCTGGACTTTTGTAATGAGGACATGGGATCACATTGCCCCTCCCTCCATAGCATGAATTTTATGAGCCTCCCCAGGAATGATCTGAAAGGGAGAAGCATTGTGAACTCTCTCTCAGTTTGTAAATGACACCAAGCTCTTGAAGCACTGACCACCAGGGGATCAATGGCCAAGGTCTGGATGAAGAAGTGGAAAGGTGGCAGCTGTGCTTCAAAGAAGGCAAATGCAGGGGAACGCGCAAAAAGAGAAAACCATCCAGACTCAAGTCAAGCTTGATGGGCTTTCTGCCATCAGCTACACGCCACAAGAAAAGCTGTATATCACAAGGCCTCCATCCTGTGTAAACTTCAGTCTTACTGAGCCAACGCAGCAAAAGCTATCATCACAGTGAAATCTGGAAACAAACCAGAAGCCCCCATCCCGTTCTCTACAAATTCATCCTAAAGCCTCAAAAACACAAGAGAAATGTGAGACAGTAAGAGAACTCTCAGAGAATGGCAACAACATTAGGCCACAAGGATAGGGCTTTCCTGCCGCAACCTGCAGAAGTGGTATACGATCCAAGGCACAAAGGAGAACTTGACCTTTCACCAAGTCCCAGTGCCTGCATCCTTTAAACGTCTGGAATGAATTATAGTCAGGGAGTGGCACAGGGAGAAAATGTTAAGACCTTCAAGAATGGTTCAGAGGCCTTGGGGGTGATGAACTCTGCTGTTACTAAGGGCTGTTTGGAATCCACTGACCAAATTTCCCTGTAAAAGCCAGGCAGTGCAATCCTGACCCCACATCACAAGGCCTATACCTTCATTACTGGAAACAGGGCTGGGCAGTGAGCTACCGGCCTCCCTGTGTCCAGCAAAAGACAACGTTCCCGTTCCCCTTTCCTCTGCCTACCTGGCTAGGAAGCTTGATAATGAACACAGCAACCTTACCTCGTTCGGGCACACTTATAATGGTTCCAAGAGCCAAATTCCAATTTTTCTACCGAGGATGGCAATGGAACCGACTTCTGATTACTGAAAACACCACAGACTCTCTTTTTATCTAACAACAATCCAATTACTGTAGAACTCAAAAGTATCTTTCAAAATGTAGCCATAATAGAAGTCCCTTTTTCTCTATCAATCAGGCTGCCCCAAAGAAAACTTCCTCTATCCCAAAGGCTCCTTAGAAGGAGACAGCTAATTGCGGTGCCCAGCACCCTTATCTTCTCTCCGATATTACAGCGCCCTTCCTCCAGCGGAATCCTAAAATAGTCCAGATTAGTATGGCATGAGGAGTGGGTGCTTGGCTGAATAACATCAGAATTAATGAGGGGCCGGACCCCAAACTGAGCCACCTGGTGGGTATGAACAGCATGCAGGAATGGGGCTGTTTTCTTCAACCAAGTGCCTGCCCCAGGCTATCTCAGCTCCAGCCAGCACCACATTCTGCTCCCTGCAGAGAAGGCCCTGTCGCCTAGAAAGAAGAGGGTCGGCGCGTAGCGCCCTCACCTTTCAGCAGGTCCGGGTGCACGTAGCCCAGCACGTCGGAGACCCCCAGCTCCTGGCGGGAACAGGTGCCACCGTGGATGTGCAGCCAGGCAGGCTCGGCGAGGGCAGTGCACAGCGCGGTGATGGACAAGGCACCTGGCAGGGCCGAGGCCAGGCTACGCTCCGGCTGCTTGGGCAGAGCGCTGCCTCCCGGGCTCCTCCGCCGGCGCCCGCCCGGCAGCCCTGCGCCTCCGGGGGCGTACATGCCCGGGGCCGCCCGCCGTCGCTCCGCGGTCGCTGCTGGTCGCCGCCGACCTCCGCGGGGCGCTCAGAGGCTGCCTGTCCCGGGGAGGAGAGCAACGCACTGGGTTCGCGGCAGGTGAGGCTGGTGCGGGGCTGTCAGGGTCGACACCAGAGGATGGGGTGGGACTGAGGGCAGAGTGGAGACAGTAGGGCTGCAGGGGTTCGGGGGGCGGGGACGGGGTCCCCGGAGTGGGGCTGCGGAGGTGCGGGATAAGGACTTGGAGAGGGCTGGAGGTCCACTGGATCTTGGCAGAGCGGAGTGGGAAGGGAGGCTGGGGCCGAGGTATTCGTTACTGGTGGAAGAGAGACCCGGTCTCGGGGTCTTGGCAGAAGGTGCCGAGGGGCGGAGGACCAGGCTGGGCCGCAGGGATCGGGGACCAAGGATCTGGGAACCGCGCTCTGGGGTGTGATCTGTGCCCAGAAAGGACCCACCCCTCACCGACTCCTGATCCTCACCAGTCAGCAGGCCTCAGTGCCGGGATGGCGTCGCTCCGTCCCGTCACGGTCTCCTCAGCTGCCCGAGGACGAGCTATCCCAGGCCCCAAACCCGCAACGCCCGGACCGACCCGGGCCCGATCCACTTCCGGCTTCCTCCACCTCTGCCCCCGCCTCCTCCGGCTCCCCACCCCGTCCCCGCGCGCGACACAGCCCGGGCGCGCCGCCGGCGCCCTGCGCAGGGCTTCATGGGACTCGTAGTTCGAGGCTGTTCCGCGATGCTTTCCCCTGGAAGGGGAAGGAAGCTGACTACAACTCCCAGAAGGTAGCGCGGCCTCAGCAGCGGGCGCTTTAGTTCCAAGGAGGACCCCGGCCCCTTGGGCGGAAAGGGTTTTGTAGGGTGAGAGCTGCAGTTGGCGGTGCTGGCGCTGCTCGCCTCCTCCTGCGTCTGGCCGCCATGAAGGACTCGCTGGTGCTGCTTGACCGTATCCTGGCGCACCCGGACTCCCGCTGCTGGTTCCTGGCCTGGAACCCCTCCGGAACCCTGCTGGCCTCGTGCGGTGGCGACCGTAGCGTCCGCATCTGGGGCATAGAGGGTAAGGCCCCGCCCGGCCCAGCTCCGCGGCCCCTGCCCTCGAGGGGTCTGTGTGCTTTAGCCACTGAGAACGCTTTTCGGGCAAAGGAGTTGGCAAATCCTAGAAGTAAAAATGTCAGTAGACAGACTGAACTGTTGAGGGAACTGTGATAGTAGCTGAGGCAGGAAAATGAGAAGAGAAGGTGGTAGGAAAGTGGCCTGCAGAGTAATTTGCAACAGATGATGAAGTTTAAATTTTATCCCAAGGGCACTTGGGAGCCATTGACAAGTTTTAAATGGGGAGAGTGACTCAGATTTGTTTAGAAGTGGAGTCGGTTACAGCTTTCTGAAAGCATGTTGTTAAGTGCACCCAGTGAGCTTTGCCCCCAGCTGGGCTCTGATACTCCACTTCCGTTACCCAGTGGCATTGATGGCGCTTCAGCACCTTCTTGTGCACCCAGCTCCAGAGCCTGACCTGTCCTCTGCTTTTAGGTGACAGCTGGATCTGCAAATCTGTCCTTTGTGAAGGCCACCAACGCACTGTGCGGAAGGTGGCCTGGTCTCCCTGTGGGAATTACCTGGCCTCTGCCAGCTTTGATGCTACCACGTGCATTTGGAAGAAGAAGGAGGATGACTTTGAGGTAACCGGGCTGGATAGGATCAGGATCGCTGCCTGTTTGCTCGCCGGGGCTGGTTTAGGAACCTGAGCCAGTTGGGCTGTACCTATGAGAAGGACCACAGGGGTCTTAGCTGCTGTTGATTCCTTTCGCTCCTCCCTTTTCACAGTGTGTGACCACTCTGGAGGGCCATGAAAATGAGGTGAAGTCAGTGGCTTGGGCCCCATCTGGCAACCTCCTTGCCACCTGCAGCCGAGATAAGAGTGTGTGGGTCTGGGAAGGTGAGTCCAGGTCCCTTTGGGTGCAGTTGGGAACCTGCCATCAGATCTCCCCTTGTGTACCTGACAGGGTCGGCTCATGGGCTCCCTTCTTTTGTCTTCCACAGTTGATGAAGAAGATGAGTATGAATGTGTCAGTGTCCTCAACTCCCACACGCAGGATGTCAAGCATGTGGTTTGGCACCCAAGCCAGGAGGTAAGAGTCAGGAATCTTGGTGGGAAGGACTTCTGATGTGGAAGGTTGTGCCCAGCCTTTTTCTGCTATTCATCCTCAATCCGGCTTTTCCAAGGATCTCTATCTGTGACCCAAAAACATCAATCCTTTTATAAAAGCAGATCCCCAGGACCGCCTGTCCTGGGAGGAAATATTGGAGCCACAGGTACTTCCTGGGCTGAGCAGACAGGTGCTATGTTTTCCCTGGCCTTCCCCACAGCTGTTAGCCTCCGCCAGCTATGATGATACAGTGAAGCTCTACCGAGAGGAAGAGGATGACTGGGTATGCTGTGCCACCCTTGAAGGCCACGAATCCACCGTGTGGAGCTTGGCCTTTGACCCCAGTGGCCAGCGCCTGGCGTCTTGCAGTGATGACCGTACCGTACGCATCTGGCACCAGTATTTGCCAGGCAATGAGCAAGGTGAGGGGCCAGGCCTGGAGCTAAAGAAGACTCATCTGTCACGAGGTTTACAGTCTGCTAAGGGGCTGAGACACACAGACAAGTCACAGTAAACGGGGTTAGAATGGGAGATTGCTGCAGTAGGGCTCCAGGTAGAGTTGGGGAGAGTCAGGGGAAGCTCTGTGGAAGAGGGGCCGTTTCATCCAGACTTGAAGGAGTGTGTAGGATTTTCACACAGGAAGAGAATTCTGGTCACGAACAGAACAGCATGAGCAGAGGCGTTGAAGGTGAAAACCTAGACTAACCCAGGAACACTGGGATTGGTATAGGTCGAGAATAGGGTTTGAAGGGCTTGGAGAGAAATAAAGTGAGTTGGCCTGGCTGGTGGGTGGCCTTAAAAGGGAGGCTAACGAGTTGGACATAGTCTGCAGCAAAAGGTTTTTTAAGGAACAGGATGTTTCCTTCTCAGAATCCTGCTGTAAAAACCCCAGTCTGGCTGCAGTGTGTAAGGCAGATCAGTAAGGATGGGGACAGAGGAATGAAGATGAGGCCTCCTGATTGAAGGTGGGGGTAGGGGAGGGCAAATTAGGATCTCCTCTGCAGTAGGGCAGTCACTCACTCCCCTGGGGTGCCCAGGACACAGACATGCCTTAGGCTCAAGACAAGTCTATCATGCAGGGGTGGCGTGCAGCAGCTCTGACCCCAGCTGGAAATGTGTCTGCACTTTGTCAGGCTTCCACTCCAGGACCATTTACGACATCGCTTGGTAAGATCTCCCCCTCTCCCTGCCCCCTCACTGTCCCACCCATTCCCCCAACCATTGGAGAGATTTTAGAGAAGTCAAGACCCTGTGGGGATAGAGAGTAGCCACCCTCATATCTTCAGATCAGGTCAGACTGTCTCCATGCTGCCTTAGGGCTGGCAGGCCCTGTGTTCACAGGAGCAGGGATCAGACTTAGACCTAGGCCTGTCCCTGCATTAAGATTCCAAGATGTGAGGGCAGCTCCTGCCTTTGAGGGTAACACAGCATTATACTATCCTGAAATATTTATTGTTGAAGCTGTGGATTCACGGCTGGGGTTTATATGGTTTGGTAACACTGCTTCTACTCTTACAGGGTCTAGAAGAGCCACACCATTCACATAGGAGAGTCAGTTAGAGGGCAGTTCTGATCCTGAAAATCTATCCCTGGGAAATAATTTTAAATAGTGAAAAAAAAGTTAATATGCATCTAAGTTTTATTTATATTAGCAAACATCTGGGAATAACAGAAATGGACTAAAGTAAAGAATGGTAAAATTCAGTGGCCTGTTACATTACTTACAAAAAACGATCAAGAATACTTAATGACAGAGAAACTGCTTCTGCCAAGTGTGAAAAGTGTAATTCAGAATCGTACAGTATTTTAGGTTAATCATATTGGAGGAAAACATATGTGGCAGCCCTGGAAGCTTGGGAGTGATGTTTGTGGCTGTATATTAGTTAGGGAGGCTCTTCAGTAAGAGGTTTGGGAAGGCTGTAGACTCAGGCTTTTCTACCTAATTTGCCAGGTTGGGGAGGGAGGAGCCACCTGCCTAGGCACTGATGCACATGTTCCTCCCAGGTGTCAGCTGACAGGGGCCCTGGCTACTGCTTGTGGGGACGATGCCATCCGAGTGTTTGAGGAGGACCCCAGCTCAGATCCGCAGCAGCCCACCTTCTCCCTGATGGCCCACTTGCCTCAGGCCCATTCTCAGGATGTCAACTGTGTGGCCTGGAACCCTAAGGAGCGGGGGCTCCTGGCCTCCTGCAGTGATGATGGAGAGTTGGCCTTCTGGAAATATCAGCGGCCTGAAGGCCTCTGAGCCACCTTGACTTTGGACAGAATCATGGTTCCCTGGAAAATGTCGTAAGACTTTCCCAGCCCCTGAGAGGACCTGGAGAAGCATCCTTGACCTTCTTTTGACTTGGCCCTCCTCCATTCGGACTTGGGTAGAAGTGCAGAGCCACAGAACCATTCACGCTTTCCCCTCCTTTGACACGCGGTCCTTGGGAAAGGGCTAGAGTACTTACGTCGGATTTTGCTTGCTTTAGGGCACAGTGTTAAATTTGGGGGGAGTGAATATCCTACTTTATAATCACCGTATCTATATGTAGGAGAGATGTATTTCAGCTCTTTCTAAGACTATAAGCCTTATAGAAATAATCTGAGTCCCAAGTCCTATTTTATATTGTAAGGACATTCACCGTCTAAAAGAATTCCATGGTGAGTCCTTTTCTGAAATAGGTCCTGCCTTCCCAATTTCTGGGTAAATCCTTGCATTTAAGACATTCAGTCAATATTGAAAGAAACTTTTTAATGTTGGTTGGTTTAGAGTAAGAGACACCTCTGCCGTCCCTTAGAAACCGTCATCTACTTTCTATGTATGCTGTGTGTTGTGATGACTGACGGCCGGGAACTACTGAGAAATGAACAGGGAAGATGTGAACCCTAAAAGGGAGAGTCGTTGGCCACAGGTCATACATTCTCAGTGGAGGAGAACTCGTTCTTGGGTGGTGGGCAAAAAAACCTTAGAGACAATAATTTATGGCCTCCAAAGAACCACAGTACATAAGTACACAGTCTGTCTGTTGTATTAGATTTTCATGGTGGGGGTGAGCAGGAGAGAGATGCCAAATAAGGTCCCTTAGAGGAATGATGATGAAAAAAGGTAGCGAAACACTGGCACAGGCAGACAGTGCTTCGGTCCTACTCAGGTTGTCTTCTGACAGGCACTTCCACATGGGTTTTGACTCAAGGACTGTCCTCAAGGCCACAGCCTTCACGTACATTTTTTACACCACAGAAATCATGACCTTAGGTTTTGAAAAGACAGCTGGGGCAGTACCTGGAGCAGCGGTTCTCAAAATGTGGTCTTCCGGTCCCTGGAAATCCCTAGAGCTTTCCAGGAGAGCTCGAGAGGTCAGCTGTTGGCGCCTTGGCAGGAATCAAGGCAATGGCGCCAAATTCTGTAGTTGTGTCTCCATGACTTGCTCTCAGTAAAAATACTGCCGACTTCATTTAGAAATGTCCTCGATAGAACCAATAAAAATGACTTGTGTGAAACCTTGACC